ACCTCCTTCTGATCAGCATCCCGGCGGGGAGAGATCCCTGCAAGGTTCTGGGAAGAGAAGGAGACAAATGACTAAGTGGTGGGCCCATGAAAGGGACCTGTGACAAATGACTGGAAGGACTGGGTGGACAGATGGAGGAGAGCAAAGGCCCCTGTCCTTTTATTGGAGAACTCCTTGTGGCTCCCTGAACAAGACAGTGGCTCCCCAGGGGCTGGGCTGAGGGTTGGTCTCTCTGGTTCTCTCTGCTGGGATGAGTAATATGGACTGGGGCAGAGGGTCTATATCAATCTAGCCCAGCAGAAAAATGAATGAAAATTGAATTCCCCAAGGAGAATCGGGGAGCTGTTATCCAGACAGAGATAAATCAAAGGATGCCACGGAGCTGGGGGAGAGCAGGTTTGCAACAGCAGGAGAATAATTAAGGAAACAGTTTCAAAATGTAAATGATGAAAGGGGGTTTGAAAGGGATGAGGACAAGGAGGAGATGATTGGAGATGGGGTTACGGGGAGCAGGGGCAGTGAGATTTGTTCCTCAGTGAAGAAAGAGGCTGGGATTCGGGATTCCCAGCATCTGAGAGTGTATTTGCCTACCCTGTGGAGCTCTTAAAATGCAAGGGTTAGAAGACACACAAGTCTACTGTGCAGAGTGGAAAGAGCGTCGGATTGGGAGTCAAAAGGCTGGATTTAATTTACAGTTGGCTCTGCAACTTATTAGCTGTGTGACCTTAGGCAAACCACTTAAACTCTCTGTTTCCTGATAATCATACTCAAGCCCAGGCATAATTATGAAGATCAAATGAGATAAAATGTGTGGAGGAACTTTGTAAAATGGAAAGTGCTAGACAAATGTAAGCTATAATCATCTTCCTAAATTGAGTTTCTTCCCTCAGAATTGGATCCACTGGCATGTTGGGTTCGGTTCCCAGAAATGTAATGTATAAATGTCTAGAAAGTACTAGATACTTTGTTCTGGCTATTGAGCAACTTCCTTGCACAACTTAGATCTGAGGAAAGCCACATCACCACTGGCCCATCCTCTGGTGCCCACCCTCCAACCAGGTCCAACCCCAAAGGCACAGGTCTGAGGTCTGCTGCCTCAGAGGACCATTGTTCCTGGGAGGTCACCTGCCAGCCCTGGGAGGACTTCAGTGAGAAAAGCCCTGCAGAGTTAGCTCACAAATTTAAATCCAAACTGAGTCCCACCCCAAGGGTCTTTCTGGGCCATTCCACAGTAGAGATTATCTGACCTCTGTGCGATGCAGCCATTCTCCCAATCTCTAGGGGTAGTGACTAACTTAGCCTCCATTAGCCTCAGTTTTTCCATCCACCAAGTAGGTATAATAATATCGCATATTGGGTCATTGTGAGGAATAGATGGAATTATGCAGGTAGAAGCACCTACCACGGTGTCTGGTACAGTTGTAAACTTTCAATAAATATTGATTGTTATTAATACCACCACATGCTATTATGTTATTATCATTATTACTATCAACATCAGAATGCACTAGAAAAATCTATTTAAGGAAAGCTTTTTACTGGTTTCCTCATTTGCAGATGGGAAAGCTGAGGCCCTAGGAGGCCTAGGAGGGCCCCCCTAGGAGGGAAGTGAAATGCCTTGGCAGGTGTAGAGGTCATCAGAAGACCTTGGGAATGGGACTCAGCTCATACCACAGGCAAATGCTTTTAGGAAAGTCTCAGAATGCGGAAGGGGCATTCATTGGCTGAGCTGCATTGCGTGTACTCCTGGGGGTCAAGGGGTGTCGGGGAGCTGCTACCCACAGGTTCAAGAACTGAGAGCCAGGCAGACTTGCCAGGGCTCTTCTGCCAAGGGACAGAGGTGAAAGTGGCATTCCCTGAATCAGCCCCAGGCACACAGTAATGCTGTTCCTCACCCAGTGACAGACTAGCGACATGCCACCGGAAGAGGGCAGGACCCCAGCTAGTTCATACCAGGGGAGCAGGAGCTGCAGAGAGCATTTTAAAAACATAATTTTAAATTATAGAAGTAATTACCACATAAGCTCAACATTTCACTGCATATAAATATATCTTTTACTAATACGGCTTTTTAAATAAGCACTTTGCAGAAAATCTGGAAAAGAGAAAAAAGAAAAAAAAATGTCACATAGCACATTTTCCTAATACATTTTTGCTAATATACTTTTGAATAGTATTTTGTTAACTTTCCTTCCCTTTTTCTTACTGTTTTAAAAAACACTTTATTCGTTTTTTCTGCTTTATAAAATAATGTGCTCATTGAGAAAACTGGAAAAAGCAAAAAGAATAAAATAAAAATATCCATTGTGCAGATAACCACTTTTATATTTTAGCATATTTTTTTCTATTTATGCTTTTTAAAAAAAATCCTGAAATTCATATTGCTTCATATTTTTTCACATTTCATACCTTATTAAATATTATTCTGTTGTATTATTTCTGCTTTCAATGCACTTACCTAATTTATTTAATAATTTACTGTAATTTATTTAATAATCCCCTATTGTTGGATATTTAGGTTCTCTTTTTAAAACATTATAAACATCCTTGATTATTTTCTTTGGATACATTTCTATTTGGATTGGGTCAAATCCATCATACTTTCAGCCAAAATGCCCTCAAAAGACATTTCCCCTCTTTGCATCCCCAACAGGAAATTGTTGGCTAATTTCCCCACACCCTGACAAACAATGGGTATTGTCACCGCTTTTATTATATTTGATGAAGGTCTTTTACGTATTTACCATACAGTATTGCATTCTGCTTTTTAAAAATGTAGTATTTCACAAGCATTCCCATGTTGCTAGACTTCATAATTAATTTCAATAATTGTATAACATATTACCAAACAAATTTAATATACTTCACTACCCCATTTCTCTTTTGTTTAATATTTAGGTTATTTTTCTCTAAAACATAATGCTATAATAAACATGTTCATGCATGAAACATTTTTTAAAATTCTAGATTATTTTCGTTCCGTGGAATAGACACTCAAAAGTGGAATTACATGAGCTAAGGGATATGAAAAATTTATGGGTTTGATACGTGTTGCCAAATTGCTTTCCAAACGTATATTGAGTTTATAAGCACACCGGCAGGATCTGTGAGCATACCAGTTTCCAACACCTTCGCGGGCTCTGAACGCTACAGCCCCCACCCCCACCCCGACCCCCACTCCCTCCTCCACCCCGTCGCTCATTTAACAAGCAAAAAGCGGGATGTACTATGTTGTTTTGTTTTTCCGAGTCTTTGGTTGCTAATGAGGCTGGCATTTCCCTGTGTTTGTTTACTAGTTATATTTCTTTGGAAAACACTTTGGTAAACACTGAAAATGTCACCAGGTTCTTTGCTTTTTTCCTTGCGCATACTCTTCATCTCGCTCACTGGAGTAACAGGGGAAGAGATGATGCCAACCCAGTGCCAGGACATATAGAAGTCGTCGTGACCTCATGGGGACAAACTCTAAGCAGCGCAGACCGCCACGCCATTCTCCTCCGTCCCCATGCTCCTCCCTCACCAACCCTGAAAGGTGGGCAGGTGTCCCCTGTTAGAGGACAGCGCCAGGGGAAAGAGCAGCGAATGTTCTGGAAGGCTGGGTAAGGAAGGCACACTGTCCCCCTTCCCGCCCAGGCTGGACCCCAGTAGGCTGGGAGGACGCATCCGTCTTCATCTCTGGAACGAAATTCCGGATGGGGTGCCGCGGGGGCTGGGACTCCGAGAGCGGCTGGGTCCTGGGGCTGGCGGGGCGGGCTTCCCGCGCCTGCAGCCGGGAGGCGTCGAGTATCTGACCAAGCGTCAGAAGACCTCTGCGTAGACTCGTCCCAGCGTCGGGCCTTCTGCTTTATTTCCGCCAGAAACTCGCGTTAAGGAGAATTTGTTTTAAGCGCTTACGTATATGCATCCTCTAAATACAGTACGCAACACAGACCCCTTCGCTGGTTAGCTCCGGGTGTCCGCGTGCATGCGGCCGCCCTGCACACGCGAGGTCCGGAATCGTTCAAAGCTCCCGCGGCAGGGCAAAGCGGTCTCTGGGGACCGAGAACGCGCCCGCTGGGCGGACGCAAGCAGGGCAGCCAGGGAGGCCCAGCCGCCTGGAGCCCTGGGGCCCCTACCCGTCCGAAAGGGAGGGAAGTGCGGTCTCGGGGCTGCAGGCCGCGGCGTGCGGGGGTGTGCACCGGGGGCCTGCGCCCCGCCGCCGCCGCGCACTGCCCCTGGCCCCCTGTCCCGGCCCGGCCGGCCGCCGCCCGCTGCGTGACTTGCGCGTTCCGGGCGGAGTACCGCTGTCCCTGGCCCAGCCTCAGCCAGACGCGGGGGAGAGAGAGCAGGGGTTGGAAAGTGCCGGCGGGAAAGGAATTGGCCAGAGGAGAAGAGTAGGAGGAGGATGGATGGAATCATCCGGTTACGGAGCGCGCTCAGTCCGGCGGAGAGAAGCCGGGGACGAGAGCGCGCAAGGAAGAGACAGGGCCACGCGGCCCTGGTCTCCGGACGGTCTGCCCCGCCCCGCCCCTTGGTCCGAACGGAGGGATGGAGAGGACGCGAGCCGCCGGCCCGGAGCCCCCGGAAGACCCGCGGAAACTCGCCAGCCCTGGGAGCCGAGGTCCCGGGCCACCTGCTGCCGCGGCGCAGCCAGCCGCAGTATTTATACCCGGGGCGCGAGCCCGCACGGCGGGGCGGGGGCGGGGGTGCGGGCCTGCGAGGCCCCGCCCCACTCCATGCAGCCCCGCCCTCCTGCGCTGCCGGCGTCTCTTGGGGCGCCAGGACCCCCACTTTGGCCAGGGTCGGCAGCGGGTTGCCGGCTAGGGGGATTTGCTGAAGGGCGGGCCTCCCTGCGGAAAGCGACGTCACGGCCGCTCCTGCAGTGTGAATGAATCAAAATGCCTGGGTGACCGCGGCCTCTCGGGCGGCCGGCACGCGAAGGGTGGAGGGGGAGGGGGAGGAGAGCGGGAGGCGGAGGGAGGAGGGGAAAAAAGCCAGAGCTGCAGCAACAGCGTCTCCTCAACCTGGGATGTGCACCAACCCCGGAGAGCGAGATCAAAGGGATTTGAAACAGACTGAGGAGTGGCGGGGGGAGGGGGCCGGCCAGCCTGTGGAGTCCTCCGGGAGAGACCGAGAGCCCGGCTTCCACTGTGACTTCAGCGGCCTGGTTGGGTTTTTTATTATCATTTTCAATTTTCTGAATCGAGCTAGAGCGAGAGAGCGAGAGATCTCCACAGACTGCGACTCCCCGTCGCTCGCTCCGAGATGATGCAGAGCGCGACTGTCCCCGCGGAGGGGGCTGTCAAGGGGCTCCCGGAGATGCTCGGTGTGCCGATGCAACGTAAGACACCCCCTTTCTCGCTGATTTAATTTGATAACAAGACAGCTTGCAGCCTCAGCCGCTGCGGGGCGGGCCGGACGCCGTTCGTGGCCCTGACCGGGAGGGGCCGGCGGCCGGGGCGCAGAGGCGGTCATAGGGCAGAGGCATTGGCCAGAGTGCGTTTGAAGGGCCTGGCTTGTGGCCGTTCCGGGCGGAACGCGAAAGCCTCCCGGCTCTTGCTTGAGGCAAGCCGAGAGTACAGAACCCCGCATCTCCAACCCAGGGCTTTTCTGGGAACGCTGGGGAGAGTGCTGTTTGGGAACACCTGGGTTACGAGCTGCAGGCCAGGCCTGAGGGTGGGTGGCTCCCCCAAATAATCTGCTCGCGGGGCGACGGTCAAAGCTAGCAGGACCGTTAGTGCAACTTCATCCCAGGTGGCGGGAAGTTGGAAAGCGCGTCTCCCGCCCCCGGGGTTGGCAGCGGGGAAGCCGGGGCCACACTCTTCGTCCCCGCTGCCTGTGCGCCTGACGTGCGCGCCCAGTGCGTCCCCAGCCGCTACTGCCCGCTGCACTCGCCACGTTTGTCGCGGGAGACTGGCTGCTCCTATGAGGGAATCTGCTCGCCACAGTCCAACTAGTCAAGGAATGCAGGGGAGGGAGAAGCGCCGGGACGAAGTTGTAAACTCGCGGTTCAGCTCTTGCGCTCGCGAGGGCAGGCGCTCAGGGTGGCTTGGATTTGGAGGGGGAAAGACTGGGGTGTGGGGGAAAGACTGGGGTGTGGGGGAAAGACTGAGATGTGGGGGAAAGACTGGGGTGTGTGAGCGCTTTGCTAGCCCGCTCGCTTTCTTCTCGCGCCCGAAATTAGCCAGGCGGCGTGAGCTCGGGGCGTGTTTATCCCCAGCTCTCAGTGTGTGTGTGTGTGTGTGTGTGTGTGTGTGTGTGTGTGTGTAAGCGTGCGCGCGCGCAGATTTTCCCGGAGGGAATCTGTCTCTGTCCCTCACCCCCGAATAGAGAGTCCGCGAGAGAGGATCTGTGCGGAGGCCAGAACAGGTGCCCGAGCGTCGCGCGCGCGCGCGTCCGCGGTGGGCGCCGTGAGTGTCCTGCCCCGCCGGCTCGCGCGCTCAGCAGGGTGCCCCTGGGCAAGGTGGAGAAACCAAGGCTTCCCTCGGTCCACTTGTGCCAAGGGACTGTACTTCCGCCTGCGACTTACTTAGCTACATCTTCGGTATTCCTTTCAAGTAAAGTGCGGCTCACCCAAGGATGGTGACTGCCTGCGAACGAGGGCGCACGAGCGCGCCCTCCAGTGCCTGGTCTCTCCGCGGCACTAGTTCTGTCCTGGCGATACTTGTAAGGGCAGGCTGGCGAGTGCGTGCCCCGGCTCCCCTAGGAAGTTTTTGAGAAGGGACTAGAATAGGATAGTTTCATCCAAGACAATTTACATTGTCTCTCGACTATATTCTACAGATTCTTTGTGTCTTTATGTCAACTGTAGGCAAACAGTCCCACACCTGTGTGCTGTGCTTTGGGGGCGTTTACTGCTAAGATGTTTCTGTGGAAGGCATTGGAGGTTCACTGCTACCCCGGCCCCGCTGGGACAGAGTTGGGTGTCAGCCCCTGTACAAACAGAAACACAAACCCTGGCAAAGATGCTGCAAGTCCTTAAGCTGCTTGTAGCTCTGCGCGACTGAAAGGAGTGCGAGAGTGGGGGAAGGGTGTATGTGTACTGGGTACCTGTCCTTGGTACCCAGTATGTCTGTGCTTTAACGGCTGTGGCCCGCAGGTGACCTGTTAGTTGGGACCACAATGGAGGATGCTGGGCTCCGCTCTCACAGCCTTTCTTGTGATGCTCCAGTCTGACATTGTCTCACTTTTTGCTTTTCTTGCTCAGAGTCAACTTCGATGTTCTACCTCAGGAACTCGCTTTCCTAAAATACCCAGAACTCGCCTTCAGAGCTATGGTTCGCAGGGCCCTGAGTCTGGGTTCAAACTGTGGAAAACTTGAGTAGGTATAGAAAAGAACTCTCACCCCAGCAAGACAATGCCAACCAAGAGGGGATGGTCGGTCCTCTCTTTTGTCTTGCTGGGGTTCTGTGGCCTCAGTTGGAGAAGGCATGGGCCAAATTTGAGGGGCTCAATCCCTGAAGACTTCGGGACCCAACTTTTTTTCTTTTGTAACTGTGGGATTGTATCCTCCCTTGCAGCAGATCTGGCTGCTGGCTATTAAGCTCTTGGTGCTGGAACCAGGGGGTAGGTGGGGCATGGTTCCCTCACCCACATGTACATTCTTTTTCCTGAAACATGGGGCTTAGTGGCTTAAGAACTAGAGGGGGTGGGGAGCCTCTAGGAGGAAGAAGGGTAATCCCAAGGCCTTAGCCGTTTAAATCTTGGGGAGGAGAGAGGAGAGAAAGGCTGGCTTACAGAGGTCCCTCCAATCTGCCAGCTGGGAGGTTAGGTTTGCCCCCCACTCCCAACGCAGACATGTTCTTGCATCACCCAGAGCCACCACATATGGAGCACTTGGGGCAGCAGGTCTAGGGATCCTCATGGTGCCTCTGGTGCCCTCACGTCTAGGGACATTTTATAAGGAGTCTAAATCCAGTTTGTTTTGGCAGCAGTCAGAATATTCTTTTGCGTATTTGGGGATGTGTGAGGTGCATTTCCTTCAACAAAACGTTGCCAAATAATGTCATAAATTCTCTATCTTCCCGGTCTCTGCTCACAACTCTGCGGTCTCCCTCTCCACTCTACCCACTGCCTCCTGCCACTGCAGACTCCAGGGCGGACTGGTAGTTAGCGCTGTCACCCTCCCCGTTGTTCACCTCGCGCGGCCCCAGCGCGGGCCTTGTCGCTCCGACAGCCCCCCGGACGCTCCAATTGGACTTCTCAGGATAAGCTCCTCGTGGCCATCGGCTGGAGGGGCTTCGGCCTGAAGCAAGGAGATGAAGGAATCGGGCGGGAGATGGCTGGCTGGTGGTGATAACAAGAGCCATCTGGAGTAGGGAAGTAGAGTCCCCTTCCTTGGCAGGTGCAGCCCCGCTGCCGCCTCCGGTCAATGGCTCCTCGCTGTGGGTGGCAGGAGTCTGTGTCGGCAGGAGGCAGCACCCGCGGGTGGTCACTTCCAGCGCGGGCCGAGGGCTCTTTGGAAAGGGCTCGGTGGACAATGGGTTCAGAAAGAGACCTCATCCTGAGCTGGTGGGTTCCGGGGTACTGGTCCACCGCGATTTGGGGTGTGGGTCTTTCTCTCCTCTCTCTCTCCCCCACGCCCCCAGCCTGATTCTCTCAGGGTCGCCCCCGCCGCCTCATTCTGGGCTGTAGGGAGGCCAAGGTCCAAGTCCTTCCAGCGCCGGCCCCGGGGCAGTGTTGGGTGCCGTGAGCGCCTCCCGAGCCGCGAACGAAACTCTTCTTCCAGGACCTCGGCGTCCTCGCCACGCATCTGGATCCTGCTGGCCCATCTCGCCCGCTAAGTCGCCTCGGAAAAGGGCAGGGAACATAGGAAGGTGGGGCATTTTATCCGCCCTTTGCCCTCGGTTTTGACCCATCTCCCACGTAGTCTTCCCAGGCACCGAAGGAAAGGACAGCCGACGCCTGTGGCCCCCGGATTGCTGGCGGCAGAGGGGGCAACCCCCTGGGAAGGAAGAACAGACCTGCCTGTTCGGGCTCGGGAGTGGTAAATGGAAAGCAGGTCGGGCCGTCTCCGTGTCCCTTCCCTGTCTCCTAAAATTGCGTCTGCAACCTCTTGCAAACCGCGAAGCTGTGGGAAAAGGATATTTTATTTTGTATTTGGTAGGGTCTGAGTTGAAGGACTTCTTTCGGACACCCCACTACCACTTTCTTCCCCTCCTGGGGCGCCTCTGGGGTGCATGGGTAAGTCTTCCCGCGCAGGTCGCGTCGCGAATCCTAGCCCCTGACGTTGTCTCCTTCTCGCGGGCCGTTTCGGAAGGTGAAATGGACTCGTTTCCCAAGGCAGGAGTCCTCCGACTCTGGAGCTGCTCGCTCCTCTTTCCATTCCTGCCTTGTCTCGCTGCGCAAGGAAAAAAACCATCTCTGTCTCTGTCTCTCTCTCTCTCTCTCTCTCTCTCTCTCTATATGAGATTGTAAGATTCCGATACAGATATTAAGACAACAGACAGCCCTGGGCACCACAGACCTCCCTCCCTGTGTCACAGAATATTGCCAAGTGCGAGACAATTTTTAAAGGTCAGGCCGGCTATCCCCGCGGGTCGATTCCGGCCTGGTAGGTTGAGGGTTCGGATTCCCTAACCACTAGGACCCCACCCCAGCTTCCAGCCAGGGCTCCACGCCATCCAGCAGGGTGTTTGGAGAAACGGGGGTGACTACGCAGCACCTCGCTTGGGACAGCGGGTGGTCAAGGACGCCCGAGGGGCGAGAGGGCTCCGGTCTTTTCCTTTCCGTAGCCGGGATCACAGAGGGCGGAGGGAAGCTTGGCAAGCCGCGGTCCTAGTGCACTCAGCGTGCAGAATCAACGATTAAACCGGGTCACCGAGCAAGCAAGTGGAGTGGGTGAGGGGCAAAGGTCTGCACCGAGCGGTCCCCAGTGTCCCGGGGAGTCGGGAAGTAGGGACTGAGAAGCGGAAGAACAACCTAACTCGAGTTGTTTCCTCGCTTGGCCCAGGTCCTGGCTTGCGGAAAACCTGAGCGAGGCGGGGCTGTGCAGGGCTGGGCGGGAGTGGCGTCCTAGGGTCTGGGAGCGCGACCTGCATGACCTCGTTGCGACCAGAGCAGGGCTCCTCCGCCCCGCGGGCAGGCGCCGGCCTGGGTGGCCGGAGGAACAGAAGACGAATTCCTTCGAAGAGCGTTTGCTGCGCACCTGCGGGCGGTGCACGGTCCTGGGCACTCGCCCCGGGATCCTGGGCATGCCTCGAGGTTTCGGGGGCTCGCGGGTGGAGGCAGATGCGGCCAGGGCCGCCTTTCGGGGACAGCCGGCGTTGCGCTCACCGCATCCCACAGCCGCGGGTAGAGGTCGCGGCCGGGAATGGGGCAAGGAAGGGACAGCCTCTGTGT